ACCATGAACCCAAGTGGCACTATGTAACACGATAATGGGAGGTGGGTAACATATAGGTGCCCGTCATTACGATGGGGCTGTGAGGCAGGATAACGAGAGCGAGAAGCTCTAAGACAGGTAGAGACAACGACCAAATCTGTCAGTAAGGATTGTATGGAGCTCAGTGGAGGGTGGGGTGCAACAAAAGTGAGCGTCGTTCTACGTCTGTTTGTATCGTTATTATGATCATGACGAGAAGATGCCAATGATTTTGAACATTGGCACCCCCTGGCCTTCCTCGCCGACGAGCTGGCATTCGACGAAGTGTGAGCCACGCGTGACGTATTTATCGATCATATATAGCCTGTGGAACTCAATATTAGCACCCTGTTAAAAATTCAGAGTGAAACAGAAAGACTTACGCAGGTGTTGGCTCTCCTACATCAGCCGCATTTTCAATCGTCTTCGCGCCAGCATAGTTATCATCAACCCAGCACTCGATCTGGCTGCCCTCTCCAACGTCGCTCAGGGGTTCCTTGACGTAGTAAATCCCAATATCACCCGCGCCCACCAACATCGGGATACGCAACTTGCTCGTAGGGAGAGTGGAGTACCAGTAATGTGCCGCGGGGTTGAGGGCAGTGCCACCTGAGGTGGTAGGGTGGTATACATACCATCCAGAGCCGTAGAATAGGGAGGCAGGAAGAGGGTTAATGAGGTCGTTCGCGGAGACGCAGTAAGGAGAGATCTCCTCGAACCTTTCTCCTGGTACCGGTCGGGTATTCATCATCCCAAGCGGAACACCTGAGCCAGCCTCCGTTCCAGGAATAGAAGCTGAATCAGGCTTGAGCCTATTCCCATCCGCATCGAGGTCGTCCTTCAAATTCTCCTGACCAGGTTCAGGAACACCCTTCCTCGGACCTGCACCGCCAAACAGGGCGTGGCCTTCTGCATGCTGCGGTTTTGTAACAGGGGCAGAATCGTACGAATTGCCGGTGGCCACTGCCCAGCCCGTGCATATCTGCGACTCAAAGTACGCGACAAGCACGTCGGAGATGATGTCGTGTCCTGCGGGGCTAGCGAGGACGGGGTCCACGTAGTACTTGCCAACGCTCTTTGGGTCGCGCATATAGTCGGTGAAGAGGACGGATTTCGTACTGATGTGCGGGATGTCGTAGAACTGAGCGACAGCGCCGTGCCAGTGGTCGGGACCGGTAAAACCATATGTTTGGTGCACCTGCGGGCTAAAGTGGCCGAGGAGGAGGACAGCAGGCTGGTCGGGGCGCAGGAGGATGGACCGCACGAGGATCTCGAAGTTGTCCATTGTTGTTTTGTCGCTGTTGGGATGTCAGTTTGGAGCCTTAGGATTCAGAACCACGGAACGCACGGAAGGTCAGAGCTGTCAAGCTCGATGATAACAAGATCTGTTACGTCGGGGATGTGGTGGCCGTTACAGAAACCGTAGTAGTCTGAGCTCGCGCGTCGCATCGCGCCGTTTGTGAGTTCAGTCGCAGGGTGGGGGAAGACGCTGTTCCACCATCGGAAGAACTTGGACGGGTAGCAGCTGGGTGATATAGGATCGTCGCCGGCGCCATGGCATGCAGACACTAGAGCACGTTAGACAAATACAGCAGATAATCAAGCAAGACATACCTGATCCCCCGAGAATGCTGATAGTGACTGGCTTTCCTGCCAGCGCTCGATTGATGAGACGCTGAATGCGCACGCCGCTGCCCAGGTGCTTCCTGCTCATCGAGAGCACTGACGCGCCGTACTTTTTGCCAATCGCATCGTCTGGTCCATACACGGGGCAGAATTGGAACGGATTGGGGTCCGTTTCCGACGCATTGAGGTAGTTCTTTGATTGCAAATTCGCGGTCGAATACGTGTCCTTAAACGTTGGTGTCGTCGTCGGCAGCACAAAGTGGGTGACGGTGAGGAGAAAGACGAAAAGACCGAGTATAATCCAGATGCGGTTGGTGACGCCAAAGCTACGCCTGCTGAGGCGTGAGCCCTTTTCCGAGTCGTTCATGTCGTGGTGCTGAAGAGGAGGCGCGATGTGAGCCTGTCCTCTGCCTGTTCGTCGCAGCATATGGTAAGCGACAAAGAGCGGAGCGTGGCAGACGGTGGCAGGATAAGCGAATGGTGATGGTAAGTAAGAAAGAAGCCTGAACTTTGAATACAAATTTTGTTAACCGAGCCCAAATATTTTGTAATGAATTCAGGGGTGCTGTTCTTTTCTTTCTACTGTCACTACAGTATCCCGTCTCGCCATTCACGCTCCCGGCCGTCTTCGACACTCTAAGGCTCTTCAGCCACGCTCTCTAAGACTCACGAAGGACCTGCGCTATTCGCTGGCTCCACAGCAGCCATCAGCCACGCTGTTGCCGACGCTTCTTAGACATTGACAGCCGCTGTAGAGCCCCGTATCTGAGCTCTCTCATTTTTGTCGCCCTGGATCTATTATCCTCCTCTCGCGATGATGAAGAAGCAAAATACACTTGCTAGTCAGCTACGAAAACTACCGACGCCTGCGGCACTGGCAATAGGTATATTTGTAGGGTTTTTGGTGGCCCGAATAATACCTTGGACTTCTGTGAGCGTTCTTTCCTTTTTCTTTTGCGACGTGTCGTTCTGTTTCTTGCGAAACACGTATGGTTGGAAAAGACAGCACGATTGAGTTAGACGGTGAAGGGTAGCAGTCTCATCGCTGTGTACATTCATTCACGTTCTATCTCGTGTCAGAGGTGTATGGTTCTTCGAACACCAGTTTTGCAACGAAGACAGTGGTAACAACCAGCGGATGAGACGAGCGGCTGTCGAAGCAGAACGGGTCGCGTATCGGGTGTGGTATATCTTGGTCTTGCAGGCACTCGACAGGACGGTGCGGATAACTGGACTGGGAAATGTTGTCCTGTTGCAACGTCTTTGACAGGAGCTGTGATGATAATATCTCTCTGGGAGGGGTATGGTTTTCATTCTTCCTATGTTTGTAAGTTAGAGAGCGGGTAGCAGGCGGATATAGACGTCAAATTTCCTCGAACGCGCTTAGGACATCAGCATATATGCGTTTCCCCCTTTCTGGACCTTTCCCTTCTTCCAAATTATTGATTTCATTATTTCCAGTCTACAACACCAGTATGGCGAAGCAACCATATGCCTGCAAAATTACGCCAGCAAAGTCGACAACCTATCCAAATCCCCACTATCGACCAACGATTGCGTGTCCTCGACCTACTCACCACCCTCTCCCCGCATTATACCAAAGAATGCACGCGTAGCGCCCAACACGGGTACATGCAGCAGGCCCTTGAGCGATATGCTCCTCTCATTGGCCATGTCACCCCCACGCGCCAATCATGGTTCTCCTCCTTATTCAGTTCAGACGACCACACGCAAAGAAATGCACGTCGCGATGTTGCCACCAGCGAGCATAAATACTTCTTTGCTATCAATCTCTACAACTCGTTCGACGTCATCCCCGATTTGTTTGCTACCCTTTTCCGTGTTGCTGGGATACTGGGATACCACAATGTCTTTGTTTCGATCTACGAGAATGGCTCGACTGATCAGACCAAGGCCCTCCTCCGTATCTTCGACGCCCTCACCCGAAGTGTCGGCATGCGCGTCATGATCCGCACGTCGATGCGTACGCGAGGTGCATTCAACCACCGTATCGAGTATCTCGCAGAGGTGCGCAACTCTGCGTTCGTACCTTTGCACGAACTGCGCGACGCCGAGGGAGAGTACTTCGACACCATTATCTTCATGAACGACATCCTGCCCTGCGTCGACGACCTCCTGGAGCTCATTTGGCAGAGCAGACGGAATAATGCCGGTATCACCTGTGCAGCCGATTATATGTACCACGACGAGATCCAAGCACCTGTATTCTACGACAATTGGGTTGCTCGTGATATCAACGGCACGGCATTGGAGAACGCTCCGTTCGAGAGGATCTTCCACCATCCAGACAGCTCACAACGTTTCCAAAGACATCTTCCGGTACAGGTGCAGAGCTGCTGGAACGGAATTGCGGTGCTCGACCCGGCGCCGTTCTATAAACCTGCTCCTGTAAGGTTTAGGATGGCAAGGATTACGGAGAACGAGTGTAGCGCGAGTGAATGCAGTCTGATTTGCAACGACTATTGGGAGGCAGGCTATGGGCGCATATTGATGGTACCAAGAGTGAAGCTAGCGTATGATAGCGTGAGTTTGGATTGTTTTACCTTAATTTTAGAGGCACAGAGAGCTGATACGAGGCCAACGTATACAGAAAGTGTTTGATCTCATCCACCCTTCACGACGGAACCTTACCGCAATCCGTGGATACAAGAAGCTCGGTGGTTTACCAGACGACCCCCGTACAGATCCACAAGATCGTGCGTGGTTTGGGCCGCATGATCGACTGTTCACTGAGGAAGAGGGAGAGCCACTGGATTTCAAGAATGGACCTGATTATGGTACGCTTGTCGACACAGTGCAAAGGCTGCAACTAACTTTCTCTCCGTGTAGTGTGGTGCTGGGGTTGGGATGGTGCAGGAGATCTCGATGGACCTGACGTGGATCCTATTTGGGAACGCATGCCAAACAAGTCGACGATGCCAGACATGGTCCAGGTTCGCCACGACCGTAGCATGTTGCTATAAGCAGAGCTCACCTGCGGTGCTTACACACTTTACATGCGGCATGCCGTAGTTCGTAACCCAAAGGGCGGTTTTGCAGATTAGGACATCGTTTTTTATGCGGGATCTTGGTCTTTTGAGCTTAACGTACATTCTTCTTTACTTTTCTCCATCCATTAGGTGTGTATGTATAGTATTTCACTGGATCCGGGACTAGTAAGGCGTAATAAATTTAGTTGTCGCTAGAGCATTTGTGTTGGTCATTTGTTCAGCAGATCGTGCCGTCGAAAAATAGTCAGAATTGGTGGATGGTACAGTATTCCTACTCTAACTTCTCAGGGTGTAGGATATAAATCCAACGTTCATTTAGAGAGCTTCGGTGACGAATCAAAAGAGTGGACACTGTGGGAATTGAACCCACGACCTCACGCAGGACAATTTGTTTGAGTCTTATATGATCATGCGAAGCGTGCGCGCTACCCCTGTGCCAAGAGCCCATACGAATAATTCAGCGATGAACTGTGCCAGCCCACCAGCACGTAGTCAGTACAAAGCCCACCAATCCTAAAGATGCCATCTAAATCACGCCGTTTAAATCTAAGGCTTGAAGCTTGAAGCCTGAGCTATTGGTAGCTTAGTCTGGCTGAAATCAGGTTATTGGTGAAGATACTCCAACAAGTGTAATAATGCTGTGAAATGAATGCCCCGCGGGCATCTTATACTCTTATACGGGAAAGGCTTTCAGACCTGATAAATGCTGAGCTCCCTCGTAGCAATATGGGCTCTTGGCACAGGGGTAGCGCGCACGCTTCGCATTATATTGTCTGCGTGAGGTCGTGGGTTCAATTCCCACAGTGTCCAATTTTATTATATGATTGCTAAAATATGGAACAGCATCGGTAGCTTCGTAATTTTTAATACAGGTTATCAGTTTAACTCCTCGAAGAGGAACATCATTAGTGTAACCTTGCTTACAAGGTCCGCAGTCATTTCAAAGAGTCATCCAATAAATAATGTATCTTCCCGAAAACTCAATGACAAACAAGAACGTAACAAATCGTAAACCATAAAGTACAGTTGGGATATTATAGCCCTAGATGAAATTAAGATATGTGATGAGATTAAGGTGTGAGCGAAAATGTATGTAGCACATAATAGTACGAGGACATACGAGAATATTTAGAAAGACGCCGTGGCTCAAACGAAACAAGATTTACGACGTGAGTATCAGGCTTTAAGCACTGGCAGGAAGCAGTGAATAACGTCAAATGCCCTAGCAAAAGACACGGAGTGAAAACAACTCATGAATCAATAAATACTATCCAAGCGGTGGGGACTGTAGGTATGGATATCACGATTCAAGCCTTGAGATCCGTCCAGCTGGGGAGATTGAAGTAGGAGGGAAGAGCTTCCCTAATGCGACCATAGCCTTGCAAATAGGACTGCAAGGTAACCATACGACAGACACTGCACAGCGAAGGTATCAAATCCGTAGGACGTGGAGGAAGTTGGCCCGCATGCAGGAGCGGGTATGTCTGGAACTCCGTGTACATTTTCGCAGCCTGCCTGGCCTTATTCCACGAACAGTCTCCCGAGCGCGCTGTATGACACGATGGTGACCGTACTTTTCCTTCATCTAACCAGGCATAGAGCTCTTTGGTTTGGGCAATGCGTAGCTTATCTCGGCCAGTGATGCAGACTTGTTGATCCTGTGGTGAGAGGATAGACAATAGTCCATCGTCCTGAGCAACACCTCTGATGATCTGCTCCGTTGAAAGCGTTGCGGCGCATTGGGTGAACATGTCTGGTAGGACGGAAATGACGTTAGTTTGCCTGGCGAGCTTGATAATTTCAACCACGGTCCGGGGACTGTCGAAGTCTTCGACACCAGCCCAACTTTTCGCATCGTCCTTCGCGTTTATCTCTAGCCACTCTTTACAGTGGGATCTTAGACATGAGACAGCACCGTTCTTGAGAAGCTCTATTTCGTAGTTCTTTCCGAGTCGAAGTAACGCAGAGACTTTCTCAAGGGGTTGACGGTCTTTGGGATTGAAATAGCTAGACATAGGTCCGTGATAAGAGATATTTCCTATTAGTATAAAATTATGTAACGTTACGCACCTCGAATCTATTAATGCATCTAGCAGATGTTCCACATCTCTCGGTGAATCATTCAAACATAGAACTGGGCACCCATCTACGCCCTGTACGAAATCCGAGGGTGGCAGCGCTTCTACCCTTGCTTTTAGTACAGCGGAATGTATGCAAAGCAAGTCTCTGAAGACGCAAAGGTGCATTTGACCAGCCTCTATCACAACCCTGTTGTTTTCGGACCAGATTCGTGAGCGAACAAAGCGTAGGCCGTCGTCAGAATCGCTCGAGTCTCGTCTCCGTTTTACAAGTGTTTGTGCCATTCCGGGACTTGAAATAGAGTACCGTCCCTGAGGCGATGTATATGAAGAACGAAGGGATTGTTAAGAGAAGAGTGGAAGCTTCGAGAGACGGCCGACGGCGATCTCAAATTCGAGTCTAAACTTGAGCAAGCCCGTCTTGACTCTTGAGGTAACTCGCGATCATGTGATCTTCAGATTCTTTATTCGTTAAAGTTGCGTATATTCCAACATTTTATATACGTAGTCTATTTGAGTATTTAAGTAACATATATTATTCAAACATGTACACTATCCATTTGCCCTACAAGGCCACCGAGGCCAAACGTTTCCTTCGCTTACTTTAACAAAATAGTGAAACGGAGAATGGAGACTGAGAGTTTTACAGTATGTAGCCTACTTGTCTTCATAACCAAGCGTAGGTTTTGAGTTGAAGATAACATGAACAACTGCTTCCAGATAATACATATACGCTGTGCTAACAGAACGATGATGGAAAGTATACACTTCAGTGTAAAGCAAAGACAGAAAAAGTACAACAGATAACAAGAATCCAACCTATCCACCAATCTACTCTCCGCCTTGCATATAGTCAGATAATTCATTCCGACTTCCCTTCGGAGGCTTGATAACCAGCTCTGCTTGTTGCAGCCGCATTCGAAGCAGCAGTTTTCTGTTTGTAGCCTGTATTTCCGTACCAGCCTTGATCGCACGAGCGAATAGCTCAGCACGGTAGTCAGTCTTCTTCGCGTGCAGAATCTGCGCCAAGTTCAGTAATGGTATGAAAGAGAGGAAGAAAGCCCAACCTTGTTCTCTCTATCTACTCTTGCTTGGATATCACCACTTTGTATCAACCCCACGACGTGATTCTCGACCTCCTCGACCGTCCATCCGAACGCAGCACTCATTCGGTCAAGCTTGATCGACGCGAAGGGCTGGAAGTAGAGCACGACAGCTTTATTTCGGATTAGGTTGGTGAGATCGTGTACATGAGGGGCGAGGTGGATGTCAACGGTGTGGCGAGTCTAAACGCGATGTAAGAGCAGAATCACATAAGGAAATAGAACGGCCTAACAGAGTAACGTGATAGGAGCTCCAACGCAGTCTTGAAGTTGCTATTCATGTAAGCTTCTATGAGCTCCCGAACGTACGGTTCCTGCTCGATGTACATCCCAAAAATCGAATTTTCGAGCACCTGGGACTTGATAGCAGAGCGTCGCAGTGCAGATAGAGCGCATAGAGTGCCATAGATCGCGATATCGCCTGGGGCTACGAGCTAGGTGCGTACATCTTAGCCAAAGAAAGAGGGAGATGAAACACAGCGTACCTTCCCAATCCAGTCGCCAAGATCCCCTGTTGACCCCAGACGTAAGAAATACTGCGCAGCCTTCTCATAATTCCCTTGGCCGAGATTTGAGAGCGCGATAGCAAGGTCGAGCTTGGATTGTACGTAGTCGCGTTCCTTCTTTTTATGGTTGCCACTGGATCCTGCAGCACCGGTCACGGCAGCACCGCCACTTGGAATATTAGATGTAGCTGCAGTTGCAGCATCAAGTGCAGCATCGGCTTTGAATACGTAAGTCGTAAGGTGAGCATAGTTTCTTTGTTCGATGAGGAGCTACTAGATATGTCAGATGAAGCATGGAATCAGAACGTAACAGACGTACCTCGAGGACAGAAAGACACATATCAAGTACATGCTGACTCGTGGTGCAGAATTCGCGTGACTTGGTGTAGTGCTTGAGCGCAGTGGTATAGTCTCCCGTTGCACGATAGAAATCGCCCAGATCGCGGTGCGCCATCTATTGGTTCATTAGTTCGCCCATTCACTGAGTAATAGAGAAAAGTAGCATACTCGAATGCTCTCCTTAATCATGTTATTACTATACGTCTTCAACTCGACCTCCAACTTCACTTTGTCCGCCTGGTTCTTCGCGAGTGTCTCATCCGCCCACTTCGTGTCCAGCTGTGCGATATCTAGGGGATTAGGAAGACCCAGGTCTGGGTTGCTCGCAGCCATGTTCTCATACGCATTTAGCAGTTGCTGGAATAACGACGGGTCTCTGGATTGTTCGATGTGCTGCACCGCGAGCTGGTATGCCTCAGACGCGATTGTTGGGCAGATGCTGACGATGTGGATTAGGCGGTCGATAGCCGTTCGTCCTAGCATAATTTCAACGATAAGAATGCATGTATAAACAAGATAGCATGGAATGATTACCTGAATAATTAGAGATATAGCTGTCAAGATCGAATGGATGATCATCGTCTACTGGTACGGTTAGCGGTCTCCCTGCCTGCCGCGTCGAGCTGCTGCTCTGTTGGATATCGTCGGTGTCGATCTCCATCCTGAAATATGGTAGAATGCGAGAGAAAGAGGGCGGGAAGAGCGGTAGTGGCGATGGTGGTGATGGTGAAGAAGACAAGTTTAGACGCGTGACGCGGTTATGATTGATCACGGTTCGCGGTGGCACAGAACGAGTTTTTTTACGCTTACGCGTTAACTATTTTACAGAATGAGGCCATTCCAGGTCTAGCTATCCATTATGCAACAGTCTTACGAATGTCAGCGACGGAAAATGGCAATTTAGAAAGAGTCGTTTTTGTAAGGCCATGATAGTAGCAAGTCATAATCATCATAAGTCCCGAAGAGTTACGAAAAAATACAGTAGAAACGACATAGCATCTACTTGAAATTCTTCCATGCATGCTTTTCGTATTCAATGATCCTATTTCTCCGCTTTTTAGGTCTATCAATGGAAATGACATGAACATTTGGGAAAGCACTAATGAGTGATAGAATACACACAGTACAGGAACTCGAGGCTCGATAAGTGCGCGTTGTTGCATGCTGAGGAAACGATCGCGGAAAAGATTGCCTTCGGGCTGTAAACATGACAGATAAGCACTCTTGATTGATGCAAGTATCATGGAACATACCTTCAACCCTCTCAGACTCTCAGCCAGATCTTCACCGAGTTGTACCTCCACCTCACCCTCCGGCACCTTATGCCGTCCTAACCGTTGGCCAGCCAGACCCTTCTTCTTCAATTTCTCCTCCAATGTCAATCGCCGTTGCTCTTGCTCCTTCTCACGCGCAGACATGATTTGCGAATTCGTCTTGCGGAAGGTTTTAGCGCCTGGTATGGAAGCTAGTAGCCGTTTACGCGCAGCACGATCAGCGAGTGCACGTTTCTGTAAGATGTCAGTAAATTATATAACTAGTCAATAAAACGACTGAAAGTACCTCTGCAAGTTGCTTCGCAGCCTTGTGCTTCTGCGCTTTTGTTTTCCGTACGGTGGCTTTCTTCTTCGGGATCCCTTGCTCATCTGGCTCTGCCACTTCCTCTTCTTCATCGGCATCGGCTGCATCCAATGTCATGCCTGGAGCCATACTCTCATCTTGGTCGGCAACCACTCGTAGAGCGCCAGCCTCAATCTTCTTCTTCACCTCAGCGAGCTTCTCCTGGT